CTTGTCAGAGACCGGGGAGGACGGGAAGGAGACTGATACTAAAGAGAGGACAGATGATCGTGAGCAAGGGGTTTGGGAGATAGGTAAGGAGACAGGGGGAAAATGAGATTTTATTGCTCCGGTCCCAATAAATCTTCCCAAAATAAAATATAATTGGTCGTAATTATCGAATAAGAATCGGAAATTGTCAATTGAACGTCTGATTTGCTTACATCGATCCGCCCTATACCCTGTTTGACATGTTTGCACCAAAGCCAACTTGCAGGCTATACATCGAGCCAGTGGTATATACTATACAATAAATACATCTCTCCCGGTGGTAGGGTAGCCTGGGACAAGACGCCCCAGATAATTTATTTTGCTACATAACTTTTGTCCCACATCACCTGGAAGGCCAAATTTGTGCTCAATGCGTTCTTTGGACATTTTACTTTAAATTCCACCCCTCAAATTCATTCACTTATGATCGGACTCCTAGCTAGGAAGTGATTTGTGAAGCAACTGCAAATGGGGCATTTTGCCCCAACCCCAGGGCAAAACGCCCCACGGCCTGGGGCAAGAAGCCCCATACTCTAGATTAAAGATTAAACATGCTAGTTGACTTAAATCGTATATGAGAGGTCTGTTAGACCTTGGGAAGCACGGCACTGAAGTTAGCTCCTTCCATCCTATCAGGTGTTCAGCTATGACACTATTGTATGAGCAGGTTTTTCACCTGCCTCATAAGGCCAAATAATAAATTATTGCAATGGAAATGTTAACAAAATACTTCCTTTGCCATCCAGTTGCTGAGAAAAGTACATATAAATGCATAGAAACTTACTGTTAGCTAGCTACCGAACATTAGGAAGTGGGTAGTCCGAACAACACATGAGGTAAAACGCCCCATGGGGCGTTTTGCCCCGCGACCTACTGGGGCGTTTTACCCCAACACGTAGTTCGGTCAGAGAACAACGCCTTGCACTCCAGCAAGGCATAATTTAACACGAACCAACCCGGCATTATAAGCGTTTGATAAAGTTGTTCAAAATACATAAAAGTCGTTAACATGCTGTGGACCATAAAAGAACGCCATGATGCATAAGCTGACAACAAAACATAAAAATCGCTCCCAAAACACATTTTTGGCTATATCTCCCTAAAGAGTCATCACAATTTCTTTCCAGTCTGCTCATATAATGATCATATAGTCATAGTGCACGTTTTAAAGAAGAGATGATGTTTCTCCAGAACCTTGCCAGTTCCGAGAAACATCGCTGAGGCGTTTTACCTCGGCGGGGCGACTTGCCCCGGTCTACCCTATACCTGCATAGAGCCGAGACCTCCGGCTGTATTTTCCCACGATCAGCCGGATTGCAAAGCCGTGTATTTTTCGTCCGTTGCAGGCGGCCGGCGCAATCTCCGTGAAAGAAGCGCTCCAGTGACAAAAGCACGAGCAGATCGCCTAAATGCCGGTGGCCGCGAGAATTTCTCTAGTTTCTGAAGAATTTTTCGGGACCCATGCTCTACTCATACCGGCCCCCGCCGAAGTTAGTTGGTAGCACCGCTGCTCCACGGCGTACATTTCCTACCAGCCCATAGGGTTTACATGTTAAATGGCCTGTTTTCGGCGAGCGATATCTCGGTCAACCTTTGAAGGAATCAATAGTTCTTAGTCTCAAATGATAGATCGATGAATTTTCTTTCGACAATTCCTCTACTATTTTTCACGAAACCCAGCCGATCTTCTACGGCGTACAGGGTAAAGATTTCTCTGCACGCCAGCACCCGCGATCCGCCTCTCCGAGCGTCGGTTCGCGGTCCTCGGTAGCGCAGTCGGTAGCGTATCGGGCTACAGATCCGAGGGTCGTGAGTTCGAATCCTGGGAGCGCCGCGTGATTTTGGCTAGAATTAAATAATGTAGATTCTTGAATGTTTGCATAATCAATTATTAATAGCTAATTGAATGTATCGGCCCACTAATCGGCCCTTAAAACCTGTTATTTAAGAAATTTAAGGAGTGATTGTCACGTGCGCGTCACGACTGCCAACCATAGGCGCTACCATATTCTAGATTGAACTAACTTTTTGCTAGCCCCGACCACATATAGTAGGTTTTCTAGTAGTTATACTAGAAATTCCTACCAAAGTTCGTCCTACCCTTCACTCAATATACCCTGACTCATACTGCATCCGAATATACGCGAGCTGCTCCCCTTCTGTGGGCCTTCTACCACGCCAAACGTCACGTGTGTATTTCACGAACCTTGATCAAATCGCCCCAGGCGCCCTGTTTTCGTTTTCACCGTCGTCCCATCTTTTACGCAACTTTCATTACTGGCCTGCTGATGTTAGTAAAATTGAACATTATTCCAACTGATCTCATTTTTGAGGTATATACCCCGTGTGTATTGAGTCGTCTACCGTCATTTATTTTTATTTTTGTTTGAGTGGTCGGAGGATCTGTGGCTAACCCGTGTGATATTTTTTATTGGATGTTGCTAGTGCGTATACAATTGCATAAACTGATTCCTTGAACTGCCTACTGCCTTGGAACTGCCTTGCATGCATCATATGTTGATACGAATCAGAATTGAATTGTCTGAGATCTCCAAAACCAGTTAATAGGTATTTTTTCAATGAAATTTGGTAGTTATTCATTTTTGCTCACTCTAGTCTAAGTGATTGTTTTTGCTTCAGGGATGGCTCTTTTACTTGTTGGCATGTCCATTGTGCACGGTGTCAGCCTAAAACACCGAATGGTACTCTCTTAGCAGACGTCACCCCAGTTGCCAGATCTAATGGCCAGTTGAAAAATCTAGAGACTTTTTGAAAAGTCTCTAAATGGGCAGGAAAATCACCCCAGGGGTCAATTAGGGGGCGGGGAACACGAATTTGACACTTATTTTGGCCTAACTCCCCTCCTTCATCCCTTAATCCTCTCTTAAAGGACGGGGCGCGTCAAAAGTGCCTCAAGGATTCGTCTGATCGCCAAAATGAGGGTCGCAATCGATTCCTCGCGTCAATATGTGGCCGCAGCCTCACGTTCCAGATGTGTGCAGCGTATCCCTTATCCCTTAATCGCCCCTTAGAGGAAGGGGTGCGTCAAAAGTGCCTCAAGGGCTCGTCTGATCGCCAAAATAAGGGTCGCAATCGATTCCTCGGGTCGATATCTAGCCGTAGCCTCACGTTCCTGATGTGTGCAGCGTATCCCTTATCCCTTAATCGTCCCTTAAAGGACGGGGCGCGGCATAAGTGCCTCAAGGGCTCGTCTGATCGCCAAAATAAGGGTCGCAATCGATTCCTCGGGTCGATATCTAGCCGCAGCCTTACGTTCCAGATGTGTGCTGCGTTTCCCTTATCCCTTAATCGTCCCTTAAAGGACGGGGCGCGTTAAAAGTGCCTGAAGGGTTCGTCTGATCGCCCCCCTCCCTACGGAGCGCGATATAAGGGGCATTTAAGGGGTAAGGGACCGGTGCCAAACATCTGGACTGGAACCCAAAACTGCGGCTAGATATCGACCCGAGGAATCGATTGCGACCATTATTTTGGCGATCAGACGACACCTTGAGGCACTTTTGACGCACCCCTTCCTCTAAGGGGCGATTAAGGGATAAGGGATACGCTGCACACATTTGGAACGTGAGGCTGCGGCCACATATTGACGCGAGGAATCGATTGCGACCCTTATTTTGGCGATCAGACGAATCCTTGAGGCACTTTTGACGCGCCCCGTCCTTTAAGGGAGGATTAAGGGATGAAGGAGGGGAGTTAGGCCAAAATAAATGTCAAATTCGTGTTCCCCGCCCCCTAATTGACCCCTGGGGTGATTTTCCTGCCCATTTAGAGACTTTTCAAAAAGTCTCTAGATTTTTCAACTGGCCATTAGATCTGGCAACTGGGGTGACGTCTGCTAAGAGAGTACCCACCGAATTATCCCATTGATCCTGGAAAATTATCCCTGATTTTCCGGATGCCGAACCCATGCTAAGTGTTTACCATGGACTGCAGTAAGCAGTTCACAACCTATATATACAATGTGGACTTCTCAGTAACTGAAAGTTTGTTTTTTAAGTTTGACCCTCACTGTTAACTGTCTCTTTGAAGACAGCACGAGAATAGCTTGCTGAATCACTGAGAAAACTGTCAGGTGCACATTGATTTCACAGACGATAAGTTTTATTCAAAATTATTTCTTCCTTGCTCTTATTTCCCACAGGCCACACTCCTAGCTCTTCTTTACCTATATATACAACCCCACAGGGAAAGACAACTTATTCTAGTGCTGGCAATTCTAGTGCTGTGTTCAAAGAGTTGTTAACAGTCACAATGCAAATGAGGGTCAAACTTAGAAAAAAAAAACGAACTATAGCTACCTCTGGCAATTGGCATTTGCATAAAAGGCACCAACTTAGGATAAAGAGGAAAAGGTTGCAGGTGCCACAAGCCCACCATTGCCTTAACAATCTTGCATGGATTAGAGAAATAATGCCATATAATGTGAAAACCACACTTTTTAGGGTATAAGTGTAGATAAAGTATGATTGGTAGGTTGTAGGTTGGTAGGTGGCTGGTGGTAGGTTATAGGTTTTAGGTTGGTAGGTTGTAGGTGGTAAGATGTAGGTTTGTAGGTTATAGGTTGATAGATTCAGTAATCAGGTAAGGTTAGGTCAGGTTAGAGTATGTTTTTTATCTTCATTGTACTTCATCTACACATTTACCCTTTTTAGTTTAAAAAGGACCAGAAACCATAGTTACCCACAATATTTTAAACATAAAACAACTGTCTGGTAATTTGGGGCATTTCAGCTGTAAGTGTGCACGAAAAGGTGTGGAGATTGGAGTGTGTTGAAAGGTGACCCAATATTTTATGTTACGATGACTTGCAATGCCTGTACTTTGTGTTGCTTGTACTGGTTGTGGTGAAACAGGTATTGTGATTTAGACTTGTGTTTCAAGGCATTTTCGTTGCTTGTCTTGCATTTCAATTTTTGCGGTATGTCAGTATTATTGTGCCCTCAAAATTTGATAAAGATTAGCTGATGCCACAAAGCATAATGCATTGAAAATTTCATTTTATGCCCTGACTTACTGATCATAAAAGCAGAGTAGAGCTCAAGCAAGGCTGTGTAGTGTGTGCAGGAGCTCAAACTCAGAAGTCAGACCTTATGGAAAATATTGAAATGCTATTTATTTATTACTATTTCCAATGCTATATCAGGAATGTATCAATGACGTTCCAGCAGAAAACACTGAAGAATAGCCAAAGGTCTTTTGCAAAGATACTTTCTAAAATATGTTAAGGTTATAGTGATGTACCTATTAAACCTGTCAGATTGACTCACATTTGAGAGCAAATAAGACCGTCCAGATTGTGTCTTGTGATATTTAAAAGAGTGTATAATGAAACATTTTGATCGAAGTGTTTGAATCTTAGGGAAGCCAGGCCTTATATAACTCTAAATTATATTATTACTTTTAATCATAGCTAATAAATTGAAGATGCTTTACAAAGTATATTGAAGGTGAATTATCCAGGACCATGGGTAATGTAATGCCTAATTCTGTACTGCTTTTAGCACATTTTGCTCCTGCAAAATAGATGATAATATGGTGTACCTAGGAATACAATTGGTCCTAATATCTTCCTGCATATTTCAGCTGATATAACTTCTGCTCCCTTAGTACCAAGCAAACATGAATAGCTTGATGAAGAAGGGTCTTCTGGCTGCCTCAGTAGTAGGCACTGTGGTTGGTGGAACGGTGCTTCTTAGGTGAGTAACCAATGAACCATTGCATTCAAGTGAAGTGTACCTGCACGCGCACGTGCAGTTTTCTCGCTGTCATTCCCACTGATTGAGACCAGTCTCCACTTCCAGTCTCGTTCACCTGACTATGTTACCGCGCCTCCAGGGACGCCGGCACGGCGCCCAAGTTTAGCACGGAGGCCCGGCTGGATGGCCGCACGGTGGTGGTGACGGGCGCCAACACGGGCATCGGCCGAGAGACGGCGCTCGACTGCGCCCGGCGCGGCGCGCGCGTCCTGCTCGCCTGCCGGGACATGACCAAATGTGAGGAGGTACGCCAGTCGCAGCTGGGGGGAGCGAGGAGGTCTGTGGGATGGGAAAGGATGCTTTGGGGTATTAACAGTTTCTTCGGCCAACGCATGACAAATCGTGAAAAGCAGGAATGGCGGGAATTTTGAAATCTCGTTGGTAGAATTACTCGGCGACAGGACAAAGTGTCCTGAGATCGCACCAGCTTGTACTGTGTGTATCGGTTCCCGACATGATGCTTTGTGTTTAATGTTTGTTTGTTTGTTTGAGATTTATTGATGAATTATAATAATGTAGTTTTGTTACCTCCTATGTTGTTGCAAACTCATCGCCTTTGAGCCTATTAGTCGATAAGAACACTAGAATGTGTTCCATCTAACTAAGCGCAGTTACAAGTGTAACTTATGGATGTCCAACCTAGCCCTCGCCGGACCTATTGGTTTTCTACATACGCGCCGGCCGAGGGGGGGGGGGGGGGCGGGTACGCCCCCCCCCCTCGCCGTTTCGCCCCTGGTGGAGCTAGCGCGTCGCGGAAAAAACGAGCGTGTGCGCCGTTACGAGACGCAGAGATTGATACCCGATTTTAAGGTCCTAGGTCAACCGGTGACCTCTGAGGTCAGGTCAAGTGCCCCAAGGTACGGTTCAGTTTTTGGTGAATAACTTCGCAAAAAACGGCCGCAGAGCGCCGATTTTGGCAGCATCGTGTTCGCCTCGCTCAGGCGCGTCGAATGATATACTTTTTGTCCGGGTCAGGTCAATTTGGGGTGTTGACCTCAGGTCAAGGTCAGGTCAGCACCCCCAGGTCACGAAGTTGGTCGAAAGAGGTCATGTCGCATATCATTCGATTCGGCAGGCCTTCCTGAGTCCATTGGTGGCTTTCCCGACTCGCTAGCTCAATTTGGTCAAGAGTTATTGACGAAAAACTAATATGACCTTGATGACGTCATAAATGACGTCACGCAAGGTCAACATTGCAAAAGTGACGCATCTAACCTTGCAAGGAGTGCATCAAATCACGATTCTGTGTGCTTGAGATAGTTGGAGATCGTTCCCGGCGCCAGAATAGCAGTTTTCATTTTTCCCCATTGACTTATAATGGTGAGGTCACGAAAATGACCTGACCTCATATGACCTTTAGGAAAAATCCGAGATATACAAGTTGTGGGACTCATAATGGATACTAGATCCTGCAAGTTTCATTTCTCTGTGACATCTCCTCTAGCAGTGAGGGCGTTGCGAAGTTGCGACATCTGAAGACCGTGCAGAGGTTCACTTATGACGTCATAGGTCAGTGACCTGACCTGACCCAAAAATGCGGTTGGTGTCAAAAGATGCGGCTTGGATCAAAGGTCAGGTATGCCAAGTTTCAGCTCTCTATCGCCAGCGTGTTCGGAGCTATCGCGAAAAAATCCTATGGGGGGGGGGGCGGCACCCGCCCCCCCCCCCCCCTCGGCCGGCGAGGGCTAGTTACCTTTGGCATACACCGTGTACTTACATTCGTGTTGCAGCAGCGTTAGGTGAATACATTTCTATGCATTCTTCATTCGTTGCAGGCCCGAAAGTTCATCGTACTGGAGACTTCCAACAAATACGTATACTGCAGGCACTGCGATCTGGCGTCACAAGAATCGATCAGAAAGTTCGCTGAAGCCTTCAATAAAAGTATGTATTGGTCTTTTATCCTATCGCTTGCCACTGCAAGGCATACTCATTACTCACCGTCCCAACAGTTTACATGTAAGCTTACTCGTCTTATTATTAGCTGTGTAGATCGATAAAGCTAACCATTTACATCCCTGAAATCTGTTTAAGCTATTGTAGAGTGGATACTTACTCTATCATGTTCCTTTGCCCTTACATGTTTTATTTCATTCGTTTATTTTAGCCATGCTCATCAAGTAAAAATGATGCCTCATGCTTTTGTCGGTATTTTGCGAGCGAGCCCGATACTCCGTGTGTTATTGTACAAGTCAGATAGTAGGTACCTACATATGTTAAAATATTGCTGCTAATATTCTGCCCTGGGGCATCATGCCGTCATATTATGACATCTAATATGTGTTTTTCAACACCAGCCGAGCCGCGTCTGGATGTTCTGGTGAACAATGCTGGCGTAATGCGCTGTCCGCGGCTGGTGACTCTCGAAGGCATCGAACTTCAGCTGGGTGTCAACCACATGGGGCACTTTCTGCTGACGAACCTTCTGCTCGACAAACTAAAGGTTAGTTTTCTAAAATATTAAGATCAATTCAATAACAATGAATGCTGTCATTAGGATAACTTTGCAGTCGCACCTTACCCTGAATGTTGAATTGAAACGTTTAGCAATTGATTCATTTATCTGCACTTTAAACCGCCTTGCATGTGCTCGTATGGTCGCCGTAATTATTGAACAAGGTCAGTTAATATGTTAGAGCTTAGCTCACGGACGAGTTGCTTTGTCACAAAATTCGCATTCAACCAGAGAGACAGAACCATTTGTATGTTTCCTGTCCGTAATCATGCGGCTCCGCTGCGATTATATATTCGTCCCGTCCTTACGACATCGTCCCGTGCCGTCCCCCACAGAGCAGCGCCCCCAGCCGGGTGGTCTCATCAGTGTGGCACACCGGCGCGGTCTCAGTCACAGTCACAGTCACAGTCGCAGTCACACTCCTGTCCTGTTTCTACAGAGCAGTGCGCCCAGCGGGGCACACCGGCGTGGTCTCAGCTCAGTCACTAACACACAGTCTCAGTCACAGTCACACCCCTGTCCCGTTTCCACAGAGCAGCGCTCCCAGCCGGGTGGTGAATCTCGTCAGTGTGGCTCACCGCCGCGGCGCCATCGACTTCAAGGACCTCAATAGCGATAAGGAGTACTCACCCGTCGAGGCGTACAACAACAGTCAGCTGGCCAACATGATATTCACCGTGGAGCTGGCCAGGAGGCTCAAAGGTGGGTCAGGATGGAGGAGGGGGCGGGTGGTAGCCAGCAGGTTCAAAGGTGGGTCAGATATTTAGAGCAGAGCTACCGAATAGTCAACTGTCGAGGGTTTACATATGCTGTCATTCAAAAATTATTTGTGTGTTAATTTGTACTTGAAGGATTGTTATACTTTGCCGACCGTTGTTTCCGCTACTTTGTTGATAAAATGCTCACCTACGAGCTAACTATCGGGACAACACCAGACCCATGAACCCAACTCCAGTGCCCTAACCCCCTTAGATGCTGACCCATGGCTTGCCTAACCTGTGAGGTAACCCCTGACACATAACCGGTGCCTTTATCCCCACAGGCACGGGTGTGACGTGTAACGCCGTCCACCCGGGTCTCACCGCCACCGAGCTGAGTCGCCACATGAGCTTCTACAACAGCTGGCTGGCGGCCGTGGTGGTGAAGCCCCTGCAGTGGTTCGTGCTCCGGACACCCGCTCAGGGCGCCACAGCAGTCGTGTACGCCGCCGCCGAGCCTTCGCTCAGTGAGAGGACGGGAGAGTACATTAGGTGAGAGGGGATCGACAGGGAGAGTACATTATGTGATAGGGGAATGACAGGGGAGTACATTAGGTGAGTGGTGAATGACAGGGGAGTACGTTAGGTGAGAGGGAAGCGACTGCGGAAGTGCGGAGTGTATTAGGTAAGAGGGGAGCGACAGGGGAGTATTACATTAGGTGAGAGGAGATCGACAGGGGAGAACATAGTGGTGAGCAGGGAACGGCTGGGTAGTGCATCAAGCGAGCGGGGACGGTCGCCTATCGCCGGCCGGTCGTTTTGTTCGTTACGGTCGTTGTGTATGGTGGGTTCCATCATAGTTCGTAGGTAGGTACAGTTTCAAGTTTCAACAGCCCTAGTCTGAGGTAATGATGTGGGTCTGCAGCTTTTATTACGGAGCGAGCGAAGCGAGCGGAGTCTTTCCTTAACCCGGCAGTTGCTGGGGTATTTCGCCACCCACCGTTTGCTGGGGGGGGGGGGCGTTAAACGCCCCCAGCCGATAACTCGAGAACCAATAGGCGCAGCGAAACGCACGAGGCGGCAAACGAAAGAACGCGACGAGACGCTTCAGATGAGCACTTAAAAGTTGAATTTTGAGGTCACAGGTCGGGTCAAGGTCAGGTCAAACACCTGAAATCGGGCTTTCAGTAGCATGGACTTCAGGACTTCGCAATGGGCGCCTTTCGTCATAAACTCTGTCAAAACGGTGCACAATCCATCATATAAGGCCTACAAGAGTGTCAGCTCCATGTAGGGGTCAGTCAAGCATAGGTCAGGGTCAAGGTCAGGTCAACCGGGTAGGCATATATCCCCGAAAATCAAAACTGATATTCGCAGCCTGTGACACATGTTTTACAGGTAATTTGAGGCGTAGAACACGATGGTGACATTCATTTTATCATATGTGTACGTGTTTGGCTCAAAAAGTTCAATTTAAGAAATGCTTGTATCATGGTCGTGAAGTAGTCACGAGAAATTGCCAAGATTCAGTTCAAGATTATGGAAAATGCGGAACGATAATCAATAATCGAAGATAGCCATTTGATTGATCATGGTATTGGCAGTCTAATGGCGTTTACGGCATGTCTGCATGTCTATTCTGTGATTTTGTGATTTTATATGATTTTTTGAACATATGCCGTTTTTGGTCGAAAAGTCAGAAATCATGACGTCACTAAAACCTCGGTATCTCAAAAATTTTCCGACCGATTTTTTTGAAACTTTGTCACAATAAGCTTCAATCCATTCCCTACAGGTACCCAAAATTTGGCGCGCCTGCGGCGCGCCGTTTTTATGCTAAGGCCCGGCGAAAAAAGTGGGGGCGTTTAACGCCCCCCCCCCAGCAACTCGCGGGTTAAATTAATGGAAATTTCTGAGTATAGGGTGTTCACTAAAAATTGACACAAACTTTGAATGACTGCACATCAAAAGTGAAGCAAGCTATTACGATGCAACTTAGCATGGAGATAAAAGGGACATTTTTGTATCATACCGAGCATAAAATTTCACGGGTGTAATGAAAACAGTGGCGTTGGAGGTCGTTTTAACCCTCGCCCGTATAGGGGGGGGGGGGGTCGAACAGACCCCCCATGGTTTTTCGCGAATAACTCGCGTAAAAAGCGGCCGATCGCGACGAAACTTTCAGTACCCTCGCGTTCATCAATTTCACACCTACCCTGAAAATTTCATGACCCTGACCCAAATGACCTTTGACCTGTGACCTACTTTTCGAGACCATGTTTGGCTGGAATCGCGATTCGGCGCATGTCGGCTCGCATTAGCCGCGCGTTTGCAGTCTTTTCGTGGTTTCAAGCGTTCAAACATGTGCTATGATGTTGCCCCCATGCATTAGGGTGGGTGTCAAGGTCACCTGAAGGTCAGGTCAGGTCACTGACCTTCGATGACCTCGGTTCACTTTTTCGAGTTTTACATGTTTCTAGGCCAGTTTTTGGAGCTGAATTCGAATTTAGCAACCATATGAACATTTACGAAGTAGTTTTGGTGCCTTCGTAACATGTTACGAAGCTGTCAGAGGCGGTTGCCACCTACTACGAATACCCTTACTGGTTTACCTGACCTGACATGACCCGACCTGGCCTAAATACATGAAGACATCATCTGTGATCAAAACTAACATGATATTCGTGATCAGCACCCCGAAAAACCCCATAGCAGCCACACTTTACGACGTTCTAACAGGTCCCGATTTTCCCGCCTTTGGGGTCATTGACCTGACCTGCAAGGTCAACCAATGACCTAGGACCTTAAAATTGGGTATCATCGGCTTCCTCTCGTTACGGGCAACACGCTCGTTTTTTCCGCGAAGCTCTAGCTCGATCAGGGGCAAAACGGCAAGGGGGGGTCCAACGGACCCCCCCCCCCTATACGTTCGCGGCTGGAAAAACACCAATACGGGCGAGGGTTAAATAAGGACCACCGAAAGCCAATTGGCACGCTTTTTCCCAAAATAGTACGTCAATGGGAGAGTCTGGCACGTATAAATACCTAATGAAAGCTTAAAATGTCGAAATTAGTTACATACCGTATGGTGGGACAAAAGTTCTCGTGGGTGTGGGAGTCAGAAAATCTGAAGTGGTGCAAATGTGAAGATATTGACCTAAGGAAAGGTCGGGGCCCCGAAAATGCACGTGGAGGGGCTTTTTGGCACCTCACGGCGCAATGCTGTTGATCAGTAAGGTATTAATTGTGCCTAAGCGAAGAACATATATCACACCTGAGGCTAGGATGATTTACAACCGGCGTAAATGATTTCTCGAAGCGACTGGGAACAACATAAGGCAAGAGAAGTAAATAACCAATGGTCAAGAAAGGGCCACAAATTGCAGAAAAAGACCGATCTATTTAAGGAAGAAAAATCATGTTTTTGTCAAAGGGCGACAATTAACTAGACAATGGAGTATTCTGTAGTGATGTTATGATACAAGAGCTGATGTTAATGATACAAGAGCTAACGTCCATTTAGTATCCAAGCTAAAGCTGGATGCCGTGGTACGTGTGTTATTTCAGAGCATATCATCAGTTCGACTTTATTCCTCCAGGCCGGTCCTTTACAATATGATACTTTTTGAGTCAAGTGTATTATTAAGCACTAGAGGTTCATGCAGAACAACATATGTAACCAGAAGGTGATCTTCTGGTCCGACCTCGCGCCAGCACACTAATCAAGGGGCGCCTTGGGGGCTCCGGCCGATGTAAAAATTGCATGATTGAAACAAGGCCCGATAAGCCATTTGCCACGACTGAAATTAACAAATGAGCATCTAATGTGATTTGCTGAAGGCTATTACGTATATTGGTGTCTTTAAATTTGATACAAAATATCAACTGGCTGCTCATTACCGCCATGAATTGGCCAAATTCACGGTCCACTGGTGCCAGACCTTGTGAAAACACTTACAAGAAAATGTCCAAAAAATGACCTACGGGAATCAGGCAAATCTGTTGACGCTCTATGGTTTGCAGCAGATGCAATGTGCATTACAACGATGCCTCGTTTGTTTAAATCGGTACATTTTTACCGAAGATACAGCCTGCTAAACTTTGTCTCAATTTTTAGTGAACACCCTGTATGAGCGGCCGGCCGGCCGTGCGGACGCTTTTGCGAGGCTTATATCTCAGCAACCATGTGACCGATTTACACGCGGTTATTTTGGTAGGGTAGCTTCATTCCTTCTACCAAGTATTGGACTATTTCCGATGCATGTGGGTGACCCCTTATGCACGTGTCACGTGCAAAACGAAGAGGTGTCAGTTTTGTAATTGTTGCAATATCTCGGTAACTACTTGGCCGATTGCGCTGAAAGTTGGCATGTAGGTAGGCACCCACTAGGCACTGCATATCCATGTGCCAGAGTTGGGGTGCTGCTGCACGTGCGCACGTGCAGGGGTCGTTTCCAGATCTCGAGAACGGCTGGACCCATTGCGCTCAAATTTGGTACACGGTTACGGAGCAGTTAGTAGGGTGCCGTGCACAAGTCAGTTGGGACCCATTTTGCACGTGCGCACGTGCAGGGTGCCGCTTCCAGATCTCGAGAACGGCTGGGCCGATTGTGCTCAAATTTGGCACATCGCTTGAGACCGGTTAGTAAGGTACCGTGTACAAGTTAGGTAGTTGAAGGTACCCCCTCGAAATTTCGCACGTGCAAGGCCCACCCTCTCGCTCGCTCCGTTAGTCTCCCCAAAAGGCGTTATACTCGTGTCACACGGTAATAAGTGATGGTTATATAGTTGCGATGTGTTGTGGCCTTCAGGAGTTGTGTACAATGTACATGAATGCATCAAATGGTGACACTGGCCCGTGCTGTCTATGACATTTATGTGACAGTTGTGTCGTGTCGGAAATGAGTGTGAACGAGTGTTGTTTATATACCGGAGTTGTGTGATCAATATGATAAGGACTGAGGAGTGACATGTCCGTGGCCGTGCTGTCTGTGACATTTCCCTCCGGCGCCGGCAGTGGGTGAGAGGGAATGTCGCGTATCGAAACATGTTATGTATAAACGAGTGCCAATATTGCTGTCTTTGGCATGTGTCTAACAGCAACTTCCCTCCCGTTTCGGCAGTGAGTGCGAGGGCACCACGATAGCTGAGGAGGCGCTGAACGAGCGGCTGGGAGCACGCCTCTGGGCCACCAGTGCACGGTTGACGGGTCTGACGGCCGGGCCCAGCAGACCCCCACCCGCCGAGTCCGCCCAAACTTCCACAGAGTCCACACCCGCCGAGTCCACATCCACAGAGTCCACGTCCACAGAGTCCACCGGCGCGGCCGCTGACGTTCCCGTCGATGTGACCCTGGCAGCGGCGACGGTTACCAGCGTGGCATCGTAGCGTGCTAGTCAAAGGTGGAATTTGAATGAACCGGCTGTTGAAAACACCCTGTGAATTGGTCAATTATGTGCCAATAAGGGCATTTTGTGAACACAAGCCTACAGTCGTCGATGAATAATTGACCTGGTGCGTCGTTTGAGTCGCTCCGTCGGCTGGGTGTACTCCGGCCAGGTGCTATTTCTATGGAGCACTATCTGGCGGGTGGGCGAAACCGATGCCGGGGTGTGATATTTGTCAGGGTGCTCGTAGCGCTTTTATTTATACGTGGAATACAGGTATATGTGCGCAAGCATGTCTGTGACGTATTGGACTTCAGCGCAGTGCAGCTTCAGCCTATGTGGATACATGGAGCACTTAGCTATGGAAGTGGATACAGACTAAGAAATCGTTAGACCACATGCTCATGCTCACGAACGATTTCGTCGTGGTAGACCTGGCTTATTGCTGTGGACTGCACGGCCGGTCTTCATGGAATAAAGCGCTGTGCAGTGTGCACGCTATTTGGTACATACATTAGATATTCACGACCATATACGTGTGCTCTTCTACGGTTTATGGCGTCACGTTGCGATAAGGTTTGCCGTACCGTATTCATTGCTCTCCTGTTAGTTACAGGCCGTGCGTTTCGGCTCAGTGATGGACAGTTTATCGGGACCTTTTTGGGAATGTTACGTACGATCTAGGCGCCGTTCAGCTCAGAGTCGGCCTTTTTCCGTGACCGTCCTCGTAACTACCAACTTTGCTGAAAAAGGTAATGTATTGGTGGTGCCGGGTTCTGCTCATTAGGGTTTCGTGGTTGTAAGCCGAGTGGCATTGCAGGCTTGGCACGGTCTGATAACCCTCGCCCGCACATGGGGGGGGGGGTGGTTGCCACCCCCCCCCCCCAGGCAGTCTTTCTGCTCTGCACTCAACATTTTTAGAGCTAGAAGGCTGATTTTTCGTATAGCTGCTCGTCTATCCTTTCATGATGTCCACTGAAAATTTCAAGTTGCTGTGATTTTTGGTTTCGGAGATATGACCTTGTTTTTCAGGTCATGTCATGACCCAAATGGCCAATTCTCAACATCTTGCGTTTGCCATGGGCCTTGTGAGCTTTTGACACCCTGATTTCGGCCTTTTTTGCCTGTCTTACCTCCCACCTATCATGGAACATGTTGTTTGACGATGTACAGGGGTCAAGGTCAGGGTCAAGGTCAACCTAGGTCATCTAAGATAATTGCGTTTTAGGCAAGCTGAATTTACTTTTTGTGAAGTTTTTTGACTGCATTTTTGGTAAAAGCTTCTCAGATCATGATTTCATGAGATATGGACCCAAAAACAATCGGTGCACACATCAGTATACACACAGACACACACAGACATACAAACACATATAATTGACCTTGACCTAACTTGACCTGAAATGACCTCAGCAGCAAAATTCTGGTCGGATAGTGTGACAAAGAGGTTCTAGCTGGCTTGGCACCAGAAAACAGCATCGTCATCGGTATTTGATAAGCAGCGCACTTGATATCCAACGGTGACCCAAAACAGCAACATTTTTTAGTTTGACCTGACCTGGAAGGTCAATGACTGACCTGAGAAGGTAAAACTGGGTATCATTGGATTCGTCTCTTCCCAAAGAATCTTTTTGGTCTTTACTGCTAAGCTCTATCTCCAACAGGAACGAAATGGCGCGGGGGGGGTGGCAACCACCCCCCCCCCCCATGTGCGTTCTAGGATGGGAAAATGGCATGTGCGGGCGAGGGATAATTGATGACCTAGCCCTCGCCATGCCCCCGCTCGTATTGGCGTTAACCCGCGCCCTGCTGGGGGGGGGGGGGGGTGTTTGAACACCCCCCCTTGTGGTTTTTCGCGAATATCTCAAAAACGGCGGCGCGGAGCGCCGCCGTTTTTGGTACACCTTATCATACATCAATTCTACACATGTTGTGAAAATTTCAGACCAAGGTCATTCAAGGTCAGGTCACCAGGTCACTTGAAGTGACTTCACCTCATAAAAAGTTTCAATGTCTGTCATAGCTACACCGAGTGACCGATCGCTTTGAAACTTTCAGCGATTGCTAAGAGCAATAGCATGTACAAAATGTATATCTCAGAATTTTGATATCGATGACCTAAGGTCAGGTCAATTTTGCGACCTCCCCATTATAAGTCAATGGGAGAAAATTGAAATGCGCCTCTTTTGGACGAAAGACATTATAAACACTCCCAAACACTGAATTACAAGTGGTTTAGACACACTGAACATGAAAATGGTGTCCGTGACCCCTGTTTATGCCCTGAGGTCATCTTAGGTCACGAATGGTATCTAACAGTTTTTCGAAAATAACTTTTGATAGAGGCATGCTAGAGCGATGAAAACGCCTTAGATGTGTTCAGCTTGACGATACGGATCGACTGATATGCAACATGACCCTTTCCGGTCAGGTCATGACCTTGACCTGAGGTCAAATTTTCAAGTTGACCTTTCAAGGTCAAGTTATAGTTCATTCGATGCGTCTTGACGAGAGGAACACGATGCCTGTACAAGTAAGCTCGTACAAGGCTTGGGTCAAAAGTTATTGCAGAAAAACTGTTTCCGAAAAAGTCGGCTATTTTTGCAGTTTTTGCCCCCTGCAGGCAAAACCGTTGACGTTAGGTCAAATCTGAGAGAATTACTCAGAAAGGGCGTTAATAGGGCTATCGAATGCGCTTTTCCGCGGCGCTGTAGCTCTATTGGTTCCCGAGTTATGCGTTGGCTTCTTGGAAATTGTCGACCTTCGACCTGGAAATCGGCGAAATTTTGCCTTCAATGACCTCTGGTGACCTGACCTTTGACCTGACCAAAAAATTGACCGAAGTGATTTCCTCATTATTTTTGACGCTCTTTCGAACGCCGCCTTCCGCGTATCGCTACGTGGCCCAGGAGCCGAGTTAGAAGGGGGGGGGGGTTCAAACACCCCCCCCCCCAGCAGGGCGTGGAAATCCAGGACCCCCAGCAGGGCGCGGGTTAATAGGTACAGCCGCGCTAATGATGTCATAGCGTTCAGCTCGTCAAGGCACATAGAATGATTGGCATGACGACCTACTAGAATCAATCTTTGAACTTAACCCGCGCCCCAGTGGCGGTCTCAGCCAACTTCGCCCTAGTGAGGGGGGGCATATGTTACCACCCACCTCTAACTCGAAAACTAAGAGGGCTAGAAAGACGCGGTAAAAAGCAGTCGATAGCTCTCAATGCGTACGTTTGAAAGTATTTCGGTCATTTTTGACCTTGGAGCAATATTGGGGTCACCAGAGGTCATCAAAGGTCAAAATTTGCCAATTGTCATTATATTTTTCAGAAAACATGCCGCTATCTCAGGAACTATGGTAGCTAGAAAAACGCATGGAAGAGCAAACGATAGCTTTTGAACTCTTCTTTTGAAAAGGTCATTATCAATATTGACCTCAGGTCAACGGTTTAGCCTCCAGAGGGCAAAAACTCCAAAAATAGCTGTTTTACGAAAAATGTTTTTCGACAATAACTTTCGACTACAAAAAGCCACGACATTTCTATTGCCAGAATCGTGTTCCCCTCGCCGAGACGCGTCGAATGAACTATAATTTGACCTTGAAAGGTCAACTTGAAAATTTGACCTCAGGTCAAGGTCATGACCTTACCGGAAAAGGTCATGTTGCATATCAGTCGACGCGTCTCAACAAGACAAACACAATGAGACCATCCCCAGCGTTCTATCTCTTTCCAATCGCGAGTTATTGGCAAAAAACTGTTTGTAGCCTCAAGTGACCTCGGATGACCTGTCTAGAGGCTATCAGCAAAAATTGCACCTTGGTCATCACGAGTGGACTAAATCATTGTGATTCTGAAATACTTGGACTGTTCCGATGCGTACACACGGATCTAGAGGCATTTTCATTTTTCTCCATTGACTTGTAATGGAAAGGTCACGCCACCGACCTGACCTTAGGTCACGGATATCAAAAATCCGAGATATACAAATTGTAGGCGCCAATAACAGCATGCAATCCACCAAGTTTCAAACCTTTCTGACAAACACTGCAGGCTGGACATGATTGCAAACTTTTTTTAAGGCTTGGTCAGTTAACTTGACCTGGTGACCTGACCTGACATGACCTGGGGTCAAAAATTTCACACATTGTCCAAAATTGATGTACCAAAAGCTACCCCAAGCGGCGCGGCGCTACGCGCCGCGGTTTTTTATTCACACGCAAAAAACGCGACAGGGTGGTAACATATGCCCCCCCCCCCCACTGGGGCGAAGGTTAAGCATTGAGGTCAACTCATATAATTTTCGATGTGGATTGACGAATCTGGTTCCTGATGGCATGCACGGTTATTTTTGTCCTAGCTTGATTAGATCAATGACATAGGTAAAAACATTATAAAGAACACTTCTTTAAAAGAAGGTTATTCGCAAAAAACTACCTCTATGTAGCGCTGTTATTTTGACTACTTTGACCCCTGTGACGTCATCTTTGACCTGACATGAAAATAACCTTCGTACAAATAACTAGTACCTAGATCTTGTCCGCCTGTATCCCATGCCGTTTAACGCTTGTCGTTAGCTTTCTTTATTTTCGAGATCTTAGGCGGGGGGGGGGGGGGCGTCGGCGTGAAATTGGCGCGGAACCTCGTTCAGCCTGAAACAGGCTCTTCCCGCAGTTGCAGGAAATCGCATGCGAGAGCCTATTCAATGCGATTCATAGGGGCAGAATGATAGGTAATGTATTTGAATAGGCTCTCATGCGATTTCGTAAATGAGGAAAAGAAGTCTGTTTCAGCCTTTGGTCGCGAGTTAATCGTCGCGTTGGTCGCCGTCACTGATATACTCGGGACGGGTACCTACCTACTATGGTTCGCCGGCGGGGACACGGCGGACGCAGCGCGGGGTCGTCGGTCCGACGGGTTCCCGGCACCCCGACGGTCCCAAGGGTCGTCGGTCGCGGGGTGGCGGCCGTGTCCGTCAGTCGAGGTCTGGACTCGGGGACGAAGCCTGGCAGAGGGACGGAGCGGCCGAGGCATGGTGGCGACCTCGGTGGTGACCTGCAGCCTTGCGTTCGGGTGGGTCGAACGACCGGGGACGGTTATTTTTTTCTTTACGTTTTTTTCAGTTTACACTTATATTAGCCACGTTTACATATAGGGTTAGTTGCCAGATAGGTAGTGGAATTCCGGTACCGAGACATTAGCCGCGTTTACATAGGGCTAGTTGCCAGATAGTGGAATTTCGATACCGAGACATTAGACGCGTTTACATGGGTTTGTTGCAAGCTTATATCTCCGTCCGTGATGTTGCATGAGATGCCAATGGTGCTTAACAATTTACAAAATGATCCCCTCTAAATGTTTAAAGACCACTGCATCGAAATTATCGCCAAATTAACGAGCTAGAGCCTCGTCAAATATGTTACCTATGTAAACCGGGTTATTTATTCCACTAACGAGACATTTCAGGCATATTCCGCTATTTTTGACGACCTATGGCCGGTATGTATTATTTTTATTATTTATTTTTATTTATTTTATTTTTTATTATCTTATTGCTTATTTTTCACGCCGAATCCGATGGTTATGGTTATATGTGACCCCAAGTCACTGTGCTGGTGATAAGTGTGCATTGAAAGCATAAAAAAATCGTTTTTACCATATCATAGCCGTCTATTTATCGGGAAACGGGGTGGGTGAATGGCTATGCAGGTGCAAAGCACAACAAAATTTCAAAACTGGCGTATGATTGTTACGAGAGATGGAACATTTAGCACGACTTCTTGTTCACAACGCGGCGTTTCTTCCACACGGTGTTAGCGACCTTCTTGGAACCTCTGGACTTGCTGCGTCCACGGCTCGATCCTTTGCTTTTCGCGTAAGTAGTAGGCTAGCTCTGGATCGGCCATAACGTCGCGGCTAGTCATGTTCTCGAGTCTTTGCGCCGTTAATTCTTGTTTCATTCGACTGAACAGTTCACGATAACGTGCCAAACGAGCGGATATACTAGGGATTAGAGTTGCAAAATTTCCCTACCGCACTACCGGCATGCCGGTAATTTTTCACTACCGCAGGTTTTTTCGTGGTATCTGGCATGTCTTGCCGGAAGCATGCCGGTATTTTTGATTTTCCACCAAAAAATTATCAGCATATGACTCAAACTTTGGACACTAAGAGGCTATTGAATTGTATTAACAGCAATCTTAGCCACTGCAAAATACATGTTGTGGTAGAAGTTCATTGCTAAGGGTAGAGGTAACATATGAACCTCAGCATTTCACAAGTTTGGCTCTAATTGGCATTGTCAAAAATCTACTGTGGTTTATCAAAGGAAGAATACTCATTCAATTCTGGGAAAGTTTTTAATCGTTAATCGTTTTAATCGTTGATCATTTTCACATCAATTTTGACTATAGGTAATACTCATTCATGTTGCAAAAGCACAACCAATTAGTAATGCTGGTAGTTTTGGTTGGACAATGGGTGGCTGCTGGGTGGGGCGGTTACTGAAATTGCCAAAATGTGGCAATGTGGCATGTAAGGGTAAGCCAGAAACAAGAATGCAGGTTTTTTAGTATGCCGGTAATTTGGCGGTTTTTTTTTTTGTGGCGTGGTAGCATGCCGGTATCCCAGAAAATTTTTTGGGGCGGGGCGGTGCCGGTAGCAGCCCATTGGGAAAATTTTGCAACTCTAGTAGGGATGTCATCTGATGGAGGTGGTGGAGTCTGGAGAGTGACTGTTGGACTGGTGTGGACTGGTGGTGGTGTAGCATAACTCTATGTTCTCGCCGACCTGTGACTCTGAGAGGGGTGCTGACCGGCTAGCGGTGTTCTCCGGTGTGGTAGCCCACCCGGGGTCAACGTGGAGCTGGTGGCGCTCTGCCGGATCAGTGAGGTGCGTTTCGCCTGTTGCCTGCTTCAGGGGACCAGAGCTAAATGGCGAATGGAGGACACTGACTGCATTGCACCGTGTTTTAACTCTGGCCAAAAACTGGCCAGGACGCGAAATATCGACTATTTAACCCTATTAGTGGCAGGCTCCTGGCTACCCCTATTAGTGGCAGGGGGGGGGGGGGCTGTTTACGACCCCCCTGATATCTCGAGATCTAACGGGCCGATTTTCAAAATTCAAACGGCATTCGATTTCGCTCAACGTGATCTATATTTCTAAAAAAACCTTGAGGTCACTGATGGCGTCAGAGGTCAGAGGTCATGAGCAAAAATTATCAGCATTTTGGCTCGTTCGCAATTTAGGCTCTGGCCGCCGGCTAACAAGTCCGATCAGGCTCATTTTTGGTTTACGCATTCCTTGGTAAATGCCTGAGATACAGATACCCTGAGGGTACCGAACTTGTACTTCGAATTTTTCAATATGTCAAGGCAAATTAAAAAAAAAAAAATGATTTTTTTTTCAACAAAAAATCTATCAGATGCATTTGGAGATCAGAAACGCGATAGCAGTAGCGACGCCGACGGAACGCCTTCAATTAAGGGGGGGGGGGGCACTGCCGACTTTTGGTCCCATTATTTCCATGCAACGCCCATGGGGCTAATGTTAACCCGCGCCGGGCCGGGGGTGTTTGAACACCCCCCCCCCTGCAGTTTTTCGCAGATATCTCAAAAACGGCGGCGCTCCGCGCAGCCGTTTTTGGCACACCTGTTCGTGCATCTTTTTCGCACATGTTGTGAAAATGTCAGACCCAGGTCGCCTTAGGTCAGGTCACCAGGTCACGCCAAGTGACCTCACCTCAGAAAAAAATAAGAATGCTCGTCATAGCTACACCGACTGATCGATTGCCTTGAAAATTTCAGCGGTTGATAAGAGCAACATTATCTATAAAATTTATATCTCGGAATTTTGATATCGGTGACCTAAGGTCAGGTCAATTTTGCGACCTCTGCATTACCTATAAGTCAATGGGAGAAAATTGAAAAGCGTCTGTTTTGCACGAACGCTATTCTATACACTCTCAAACATCGAGATGTAGGTAAAATGGACACACTGAACCGGAAAATGGCAACTGTGACCCCTCGTTATGTCCCCGAGGTCATCTCAGGTCACAAACAGAATCTAACAGTTTTTCGCTAATTACTTCTGATAGAGGCGTGCTAGAGCGCTGAAAATGCCTTAGATGTGTTCGGCTCGACGTTGCGGATCGACTGATATGCAACATGACCTTTTCGTTTGAAATCTTTTAGCGGGCGCTGGGGTTCCTGCGAAGTTACGGCATTTTGGGACCGTGCAGAGGTTCACTTGGCATATTAGGTCAATGACCTGACCTGACCTGAAAATGCGGCTGGTGTCATGAGATTTGACTTGAATCAAAGGTCAGCTATGACAAGTTTTAGCTTTCTATTGCCGGCATGTTCCGAGCTCTCGAAAACAAAGGAGGTGCCCCTTCAGTCTGCCGACGATGGTTATTATTCGTCAGCGCTCCTCCTCTGACCACCAGCTGACAGCAATGTTGCCTCCTATTACACAGTTTCTCCATTTTCAGTTTTCTGACCGTGATCTCGGCTGCCAGCGAGGAACAGGACAGCGACGATGGGTCCTTTCTGGGTCTGAACAACGCAAAAATCATTCCACCAGCACCACCTGACGGTAACTTGGGAGCGGCCCGTGTGTCTGTTTGAGCTATGCTCGACAAATCAGGAGCCTCATAACTATAGAGGTAGCAAAAGGTGAAAATTTTGGAAATCGGACTCACCCAGACCCGGCTGGATATTTCTGGAACCAGTCAGACCCGGTATAAGCTGGAATCGGAACCAGTTGGACCCCTTCCCCAAAAGTCAATTAATACAAAGCATTTCATCACGTAAAACAGCCTATTTCCCACTGGGGAACTTATGAGCAGTGGCGTATCCAGGGGGGAGGCCAAGAGGCCATGGCCTCCCCCTTTGGCATCAAACATGCAAGTGGGCCCTTTGGGTCACTTGAGTGCAATGATGTACACAAGGGGGCCATGGGGGCCCTGAGGGACGCCCTGGTTACCTGACGGTCCCCCTGGTCACCTGAGGGTCCCTGGTTATCTGAGGGGCCCTGGTTACCTGAGTGGCCCCTGGTTATCTGAGGGGGCCTGGTTACCTGATTGGTCCCCGGTTATCTGAAGAACTCCTGGTTACCTGAGGGGCCCTGGCTACGGGGGCCCTGGTTACCTGAGGGGCCCTGGTTATCTGAGGGGCCCCTGGTTATCTGAGGGGCCCCTGGTTTCCTGAGCGCCCCTGCTTACCTGAGGGGCCCCTGACTACCTAAGGGGCCCGTGATTGCCTGAGAGCCACTGATTATCTGAGAGGCCCCTGGTTACCAGTGGGGCCTCTTGGTATATGAGGGGCCCCTAGTTATCTATCTAATCAGGGGCCCCTAGCTACCTGAGGGGCACCTGATCCCCTGGCCAGTGATCTGAAGAAACCCTCGTCACCTGAAGAGCCCATGTTTACCCGGGGAGTACCTGGTTATATGAAGGGCCCCTGCAGTCACATAAAGGCCCTTAGTTACCCGTGGAGCCCCTGGTATAACCGTCCCCTGGTTATCAGAGGGTCCCCTGGTCACCTGGTGGGCCCCTGGTCAATTGAAAGACCCCTGGTCAATTGAAAGACCCCTGGTCAATTGAAAGACCCCTTGTCAATTGAAAGTCCCTGGTCAATTGTAAGGCCCCTGGTCACGTGAGAGGCCCCTGATTACCTGAACGGCCCGTTATCACTCGGATTCAATGGTATGGCCAGGGGCGAGGGGGCACGTGTCCGTTATAGGGATTAGGGTCCCCTCGCGCCCGAGAGGCCCTGCGGTGCCAATTGGCGAAAGAGGGCCCGCGCTGGCATCGCTTCAACTGGAGAGGAGACCACAGGGCTTGTGAGAACACCCCATGGGCTCTTGTGCAGCCACACTTATCTCCAGAAGGGCCTCACGCCAGGTTCTGAGGGACCTTGCCGGCCCTGAGGGCTCTTGCCGTCCAATAAGGGATCAGCTGTAAAGGCCCCATACCCGTTTGCTATGGCCCCACGGCCCACACTGGTGTTTCTGAGGGCCCTTACAACGGCGCCTGCGAAGGCCCCCACTGCCACCTCTAAGGGCCCCACACCAGTGCCTCTTAACCCGCGCCCCGCTGGGGGGCAGAATCTGCCCCCCCTCCCGTTTTTCGCCAATAACTTCTAAACGCGTTACGCCAGCGACGTCAAACTTTTAGTACCTTATCATACATCAATTTGACACGTTCCCTGAAAATTTGAGCGAAATCTGTCGGAAAATTTTTGAGAAATTGACGTTTTAGTGACGTCATGTTCGCCATTTTCGCCTCAAAAACGGCAAAATTTCAAACGCCGCTAACATCTTCATTTTTAAAGGAATCAAGACGTAACAAAAAGGTTATACGTGATTCTACTTTGTCTATCAAATGGCTATCTCGGTTTTTTGAAAATTTTGGATTTTGGCCAAAAATTTTCCAAAAAACTGACTTTTTTGGGAAAATATTTATAAAATCCAAAATTTTGAGTTTATCGAAAAAACCGGAACATATGTCAAAGAAGTGGTCTATGTGCACCTACATACCAATTTTTAGAAGAATCGGTTCAAAAATGTGGGAGTTATTCAAAATTTTATGACGTCACGACACACAAATGTTTTGAAAAATGATTTTTTTTGGAAGTTCTAGACCTCGTACGGAAACAAAAATAGCACCATTCGATTCGCCGTGAAAAACTGCATCGGATAGACACCTTTTTAGGCCTGAACAACCAACTTCAAAATTTGACCTCACTTGACCTGACCTTGACCTGACCTCGACCTGAAATTCATCCAGAGGTGGTCCATATCACTTATTGAGTGTGCCTATTGAATTCCATGAGTAAAATGACCCATAAAACATGCGTCGCACATGCCCTTTTCTATATTTTGTTTTTGGTGACCTGACCTGACCTGACCTGACCTTGACCTTGACCTTTGAATGACATTGTGTGCAACGAATATTGTCTTGGTAGTCTAAGAACACGTTTTGGGCTATCAGTCTCAGTCCATTCTTCGGCAACTACGGTGCAAGGCCGATACTGTAGAAACTTGCATTTTGTACCCTTGACCTGACCTTGACCTGACCTCTGACCTACTTAAGCAAAAAAATTTGGGCTCTTAAGATCCGCCTTGTTGAGAGCTTTCGATTGCCGTTTTCCCCGTCTTTCTACGACCATCGGTTCGGAAGTTAGACAGGGGGGGGGGCAGAATCTGCCCCCCCCCCCCAGCAGGGCGCGTATGGCTGAATAGCCCAGCGGGGCGCGGGTTAAGGGCCTATATCGGCGGCTCTGAGAGCCCCCACACCGGCGCCTCCGAGGGCCCTATGCAGCGCCCTATGCATCTGACGGTCACTTACCAGCGACTCTGAGGGCCTCTTACCGACCTCTGAGGGTCCCTTGCCGGCCTATGAAGGGCCACCATTAACTTTCAGGGCCCCACACACGCCTAATTGATGGCCCCCACCAGTGCCTCTAAGCCCTAAGGCCCTCACAACGGCGCCTGTGAGGACCCCACACCAGCGCATCTGACGGCCTTTCACCGACACCTCTGAGGGACTAATGCAGGTGACTCTGAGGCGCTTGTTCGCTTCACTTCCTCATAAAATACCGTGTATTTTATGCACACTTCTCAAGCAAAAAACAATACTTTTATCTGCCAATTTTGCACATTTTCTCAGGGCTAAGACAGACAGACAGACAGGCAGACAGACAGAGGTACCCGTCTGCAAGGGGGACCGGACCCATTGTGCCCAATCCGCTCATCGAAAGGTTTTGGATACGCCCCTGTCTGGGTTGACGGCGGCATCCGGGTGACCAGTGGGCCCCTTTGAGAGCAGGCGGCCCCCTCCTGGGCGGAATCCTGGGTACGTGCCTGCTTGAGTGTCCCAAGAGAAACAACCTTCAGGGTCTCATCCAAAGTACTGGCCCAAGCAGCAAGTCAAACTGCGTCAAACTATCTTAAAACGCCATTTGATGGCCCTCATAGGCCCTCAGAGGCCAAGGCCGAGCCCCCAGAGGCTAGCGTGGGCCCTCAGAGGTCGCTTTGGCGGCCATAAATAAGCTTAGACTCGAGCGTGGGATCCTTTGACGCTGGTGTAGAGCCCCAAGGAGTCAGCGCTTAGCCCTCTAAGACCAGCGTGGGGCCTTCTAAGGCCATTGTGGGATCTTCTAAGGCCAGTGTGGGGCCTTCTAAGGCCAGCGTGGGGCCTTGTAAGGCCAGTGTGGGACCCTATATGTCCAGCATGGGGCCGTCTATGTCCAGCGTGGGGTCTTTTAAGCCCAGCGTCATGGGACCTTCTTAGGTCAGATTGAGGCCCATTGGCCACCGAGACTAGCTTGGGGCCCTCTGAAGACAATGTGGAGCCCTTTTAGGCCAGTGTGGAGCACTCTGTGACCAGCGTGGGGTCATCTGTCATCTGACTTTAGACTTTAGAGGCTGGTGCTGGACCCTCAGAAGAAGCCAGCATGGGCCTTCATAGGCTGACTTCGGGCCATTAGTGGCCACCTCGTGGGCCTCGGCAGCCACTTTTCAGATCTTATGCATGTTTGAGCCTCCTGAGGTAGGAGTGGCCCTTAAAGGCCGGCGTGGGACCCTCAGGGGGCATCATGGGCTTCTAGAGACCGGCGTGGGTTCGAGAGCGACGTAGGGTCGTCAGACTGACTCAAAGACTCCCAAGAGCCAGCGGAAGGGGGGAGCCTGAGGTCAGCCATAGCATGGGTCTCCTCCTGAGGTCATTATGGGGCCCGGAGGCCAGCGTGGTTCACTCTGTTGCCGGTGTGGGGCTTTCAGAGGCCAGAATGAGCCTTCAGAGGTCGGAGTGAGGCCAATGTGGGCGACATAAAGCCATCAGAGGCTAGATCAGAGTTCAACCCGAGTCGGGTCCTTCTAAAGTTAAGAGTGCCCTCAACCAGCGCAAGATACTAATGCCTGAAACAGACTCTTTCCGCAGTCAGGAAATCGCATGCGAGAGCCTATTCCAATACATGGAAGCACGCTCGCATCAATCGCACGCACCTCCCGGATGCGATTGATGCGGGAAGAATTATAATGTATTTGAATAGGCTCTCGCATGCGAGTTCCTGAACGCGGAAAGAGTCTGTTTCAGCCTTAAGAGATTGACATCTGCCCCTTGAAAAATGTTACAATCCTAAAGAAGTTGAAAAAAACATTTTGCTTTTGATAATTTTTAGTGGCCCCGGAGACGACCAAAGCAAAAAAAAAAAAAACTGTATGCCTACTGCTGAAATAAATTGTACACTACATACGGTACAGAGCTATTGATATCCATGGCCTTTTCACGTTTTTCTTTTTTAGATTGCCGAGTGTGCTTAAAAAGGCTCCCTCACATGGTGAAAGTGGCAAAGAACCGCACCTGGGCGTGGGATAAGTACGCCACTACTGGGGCCCCTAAGGTAAGGGTGGGGCCCCTTGAGCAGGTTTGGCCTCCCCCTTTTCAAGATCCTGGATACGCCACTGCTTATGAGCGTACAGTGTGGAAAGGAACATACATGAGCACATGTTTTCTTTCCATTCACTTCATATTTTGCAATCAGGCGTAGTGTGCAAGATGTATGGTTTATGGTAAGACCCGGTTGGACCCGTCAGAAAATTTCCAGGAACCGGTCTGGACCCATATGGGTCCAGACTGGTTCTTTGGACCGGGTCCTCGGGTCCACATTTTGCCACCTCTACTCACAACGACGAATATGCCTTATCATCCCGGTGATATCTGCCTTCTAATGTAGGCTCTGTCAGTGTCTATGTAAAGTAACAGATGTTTTTTTCTCTCTTGCAGGTGGAATAATTAACGTGCGAGTTGGCATTGCTGTTACGGATGTCCAAGTCGAAGAGGAAAATGAGGTAAATTGTACTTATGCAGTATGCTACCTTTTGATCGTTAACATACTCGAGTCGACACAAAAAGACCAGCGATTCGCAGTAGGCCCCCTGGCCACATATAAGTGAGCGATAAGGCAACCAGCGCGGCGCGTCCCTGACCCGGTCAAACGCGTCTCTAGCGAGTGTGAGGCCAGAGAGATATGCTGTGCCGCTGAGCCTGTATTTGTATTTGTATTTGTATTTACGATCGTGGGCGATCCACACATGGCGTGGCGATTACTGCCCAGGTGTGAGACGGCACAGTCTACCGTTGAGGCCAGAGGGATGTGCTGTGCAGCTGAGCCTGGGTGTGAGACGGCGCAGTCTACCGCTCCAGTCAAACGCTGGGCCGTCGGGGGGCGAACATCATCACAGTAGGCGAGTGTAGGGGAGACTGAGTGGGGTAAGATGCCCAGGGTGGGAAAGACGCCCCACCCCCTCTAGCGGCGAAACAAAGAATCGAACCTGGAAATTAATGTTCTTAGCGTAAAGCGGAAGCCTGCCTTGTTAACTGCACAAAAATTTACGAAGCTCAGTTGGGCAACGGCTGGCTGGTGATTGCATGTTTTTTATTTGCTGCTTTCAAAAAATATTTTGGTGTCAAAACATTGTAAATATCAAAGAAGGATGATAACTTTTGCGTCCCTTGCTATAGTCGTGATACATTAACATGCGTGTACTGTGTCCCAGACAGTTTGTTTCAGAGTGTAGTTTTATGGCTAACAAATTGTAATGATTTAATGTTACTTCGGTACCTTGGGGTAAGATGCCCCCTGTCCTGATGGGGAAAGACGCCCCCCCCCCTAAATCCGTAGGCTGTCCTTCAAGCAGCCCGTCAAATCATTTATTACATACTTGTGATGAGAGACAAAAGCCGATCTGGGACTATTGAGAGTCCAGTACGGACGGGTGCTCCCCATGCCGGTCTCTCGGCCCACACAGCGACTTTTTGGGCGGCATCTGACTCTGAGAGCCCTCACGACGGCCTCTGTGGGCCCCATTATTGGCTCCAGGGCCCCTCACGACATCCTTTGAGGGTTCCCACGTTGGCTCCACGGGCCGCGCTGGCATCTGAGGTCCCCACGATGGGCTCGAGGGCCCTCAAGCATCATGAAGATCTATAAGGGCCCTCACAGTGGTCTCCGAACGCCACCACGGAGGCTTGTTTGGCCGCGCTGGACTATGATGGCCCTAACGATGACCTCTGAAGTCCCTTACGACTACTTTCAGGGCCCTTACGATGACGTTTGGTGTCTACTGCAGGCTCGAAGGGACTACTGATTCGTTCAGGCGATTCACGTGCCCATTTATGTCAATTATAGTGCAGGGGGCATCTTCCCCAACGCCAGGGGGCGTCTTTCCCACCATGTGGGGTAAGATGCCCCCTTTCACTTCTTCAGGAAAATGCTTAATAGCAAAAAAAGTTATAATATTTCAGGCACGAAAGTGTGATATTTTTGGAGAAAAATGATGTCGGCTTCCGTTGAAACTCCAAGTTATTGCTTTCCGACAGTCATTTTCGAATAATATGTTACAAAGTAAAACCCTGGGCATCTTTCCCCACTCTCCCCTACTAGTACAAGCCAAGCAAGTACAAGCCGGAGCTCCTTCACAGTACACATATGAATTCTGATTCAATTTGATACGGTTGGTTGGTGTAATTACAGTCACGATTTCGTATTGACCTGTACGTACATACAAGAATCGGCGGCGCGAAGTGCCGCGAAAATTTGCAAAAACATTTGTAAAAAAAAAACACAGAGGGGCCTCCTCTCTACAGAGGACCACCTCTCTACTACAGGCCTCCTCTTTTCACAGGGCCTCTCAACTACAGATGGCCTCCTCTCTACAGAGGGCTGGCTTCCTCTCTACTGAGGGTCTCTCCCTTTCAGAGGGCCTCTTTTACAGAGGGCCTCCTTTCTTCAAAGAGCCTCCTCTCTACAGAGGACCTCATCTCTGCAAAGGGATTCCTCTCTTAAGAGGGCCTCCTCTCTACTGATGGAGTCCTCCTCTCTACAGAGGGCCTCCTCTCTTTAGAGGACCTCCTCTCTACAGCAGGCCTCCTCTCTACATAGAGCCTTCTCTCTACACATGGTCTCCTCTCTACAAAGGGCCTCCTCTCTAAATGAGCCTCCTCTCTAAATGGGCCTCCTCTCTTCAGGGGGGCCTCCTCTCTACAGAGGGCCTCGTTTCTACAGAGGGCCTCCTCTATAGCGATAGGCGTTATCACAAGTGTATTCGCGGCCATTGGGGCGACGTAAGAAAAGAAGAAAACAACTGGTCCCAATAACTTTAAATTATCAGTTAGCATGCATCTTTTCCTTGATCTGTAGAGAATTTACCATTAATTGCTAGAGAAAATTGCATTTAAAATCTTCAATCTATGTTTTTTTCATCGTTTGCACAATATGTTCTTTTTTAAGCTAGAAACACTAATTAGAAATAGTTCCCGCATCATCAAGAACAATAGGGAAGGCTTGAAGTGAATACAATAATCTTAACGGTGTTGTAATCTATGTGAAGACACTTCTAAAATTGCCTGTAGAAATATTGAAGGCAAAAGTTCAACTTTTTCACAAGACGGATGTCTATAAACCTATTCAACGTGTGACAACTCAGCCGGTATTTCGTCGCCTACAGCCCAGCTTTCCCTAGTGACCGATAGAGGCGCTGCTATCGATGTCCGCCCGTGCCGCCTAACGGAGGGCCTCCTAGTTCCTACCTACAGAGGGCCTCCTCTCTACTGAGGAGTCAGAGGGGCGCTAGCGGTCAGACACAGACACTAGCGGTTATTCACAGGCCAGGCCGCAGGAATTGTAAGAAGGAGACTAGCCGTTAGGCTGGTCAGAGGGCCCTGAATGTCCTGACGTGTTTTTTTTTTTTGGGGGGGGGGGGGGATTCCCGTGAATTTCTTTGGCCTCCGACGTGATTTTGGCCCCGTGGGCCTTCGGCACCCCACTGGGGCCTCCTGAAACCCCAATGGGGGGGGGGGCGTCCGCCCCCCTGGGTACTTCCCTGGGGCCCACGCCGGTCTCCAAAGGTCCAAATTGCCCCTTGTGTCCCATACTGGCCAGTGGCCCGATGGTCTTATGATAGCCTTTGAGGTTTCTCACCGGCTTCAGAGGGCTCACATCGACCTATGAGGGCCCGCGCTGGCCCCCGAGGGCGAAAAAATGGGCCTATTTCGGCATCTGAGGGACTCCGACTGCTCTTTGGGTGCCTACTGCCTCAGGCCGGTGAGGTGAGGGTCCCTACCTGTCTCTGAAGGTCCCATTTTGACATTCGAGATCCTTATTTTGGGTCACAGCAGAGGCCCATGCAGTTCCCTTAATGCCCAATGCCGACGGTCATAGCCGCTTCTGATGGCCCCACGTCCTCTCTTGAAGGCACCTCAGGGGTCACCAGAGGCCTGCCATGGGCACCACCGGCCTCGCAGGGCACCATGGGCCTGTCAGGGGCACCAAAGGGCACGGGTCTGTCGGAACGGAGGCACTTCAGGCTTGTCAGGGCCCAGGGGCACCACAGGCCCGCCAGGGGCACCACAGGCCTGCCAGGGTCCAGGGGCACTAAAAATAAGATAAACACTAAAAAAAAAATGGAAATAGGGCATCACCAAAATTAGGTGGCCGAAATCCGTTGAGTTTTTAATTTTGGGTATAGGTATACACTGAAAACAAATTGATCCGGCGACAGCGGGTAAAACCTGCATTTGAAGGATACCCCTATCCACCACCATTTTTGACCACTCTGGAGCGGATACGAAATATACGTGCCTCGCGGATACTGTTTATCCGTTGACAGCGGGTTAATCCGTATAGATTACCCGATCAAGGAGGGTTACTCGAATCTAAATATCCGCTACTGCCGGGTACCTCGATCCGTTGACGCGGAGTAAAATCCGCATCTGAAGGGTACCCCTATCCACCACCATTTTTGACCACCCTACACCGGGTATCAAATATACGCCACTGACTGATACTTATTACCCGTTTACTGCATGAGGTTAATTGGTGCAATCTATAATTTTCGTTAACTTTGAGCATCCAATTCCCCCTTCCCATGCATTCGGTTGCTGTCACATTCGTAAGCACATAAATATGGTCTTATTTATTTATTTAGTTAGACGCACAACAATATCCACACACATGAATTATACGAGCTAAATATGAGTTAAGGTCATAAGGCCCCGGTGCCTTGCGCCATGCACCACTCCTCCACCGGTCGTTTTGTGTCTGTCAACGTCTCTCCACTTGGCTTTCAGTGGTCGAAACCTCCCATTTCGATTCGTACGCCTGAAAAAATAGCCCGTATCATAAACCACTCCCACATACACAAAACCGAATTGTGCATTGTCATCTGAGCTTTCGCCTTACTGGATTCGCCGCACGATATGACCTGTGGCCACAGAGAAAAACGATTACGAGTCCACGTGGTCACCCAATAGGTAGGTACGGGGACCCGCAGTTGCTACTGTACACGAACCCCAAGTCTAACCGTCTGTCCTGTCCAGTAACAACCGATAACATTGATATCGACTGCTGGTCCCTGTACAAGAGCAGCTGAGGTTTCCTGTGAGTACCCTCTGACAGCTTATCGTTGTTCCCTGTGAGGGTGCTGGGACAATTTACTCAGGGTCGCTGTACAGTAGCAACTGCGGGTCCCTGTACCTATATCTACACGATCGATGCATTGCAAGAATCATTTGACCCTAAGTGAAAGGGTATACTCACTCTGTATATCTCTCCGGGTTAAAAAGTTAGTTTTGGAGAGCGTCCTTACCTCTATCCGCGAAATTCAGCAGCCAGAAGTCCACAGCAGACGCAGTACCACAGCCAAACCACAGCGCCGTCAACACAGTCAGGAAGATGGCGTCGCACGAGATTCGTTGCCTGAGGTGCACCGCCGGCAACGCGCATGCGCACGCGCATGCGCGGAAAGTGTATCCGCAGTTGGCGGGTGAATGAATCCACCAGGCAAACTTG